GTAGAAGATTGATCTGAAGGAGAGAAAAAATCAGAAAAACAGAGAAGTGAACTCTAATAAACGACAAGAAACTAATGAAAATTGTGAAATTTGATATCACTATAAATATTTGGGATTGAAATTGGTAATGTCATTGTGATAATATTTACAAACAACTCTCCAAATTCCTCCAATACAAAGATTGTATACATACATTTTTTCTTCTTTAAAATGCAATTAACCTGGTCTTTTCTTTGTATATAAGAGGACATTGAACAACATGATTTTAATGATGTACTTCGAAATTTGAGATAGCTTTAGCGAACCATTCATTCAAACTTTTTTAGCTTTTTTATCATTTATTATGTCTAGCGGTTTCTTCTTTTTACAAAATGTATCAATGTTGTGTTGCCCTTAATTGAGGTGATGCTTTTATAAAGGTGATGGAAGAACATTACTGCCATTTAGTATCGCTTTCAAAACTTAAAGTGACTCGGTAACATCGTTGAAGGTTGTTACAAAAACTGCGTAATGTTTGTATAAAATGTCACTAGTATATTCATTTTACTGTACTAACCCTCTAACATGCAACAACTCAAGGAAAAATCTCAAACTACAAAGATATTGGTTTTCTTTGAAGGCGTCACTGTGTAGTAAATTCTCCCAACCATTTTTGAAATTTCTAAACCGTTTATCCATGAAAATAAGACATATTAAGACATTATTAAGTTGGGAGAATTAAAGGTACAATGTCCCATTTGCATGAAAACAAAAATTAAAAGGTTAAATTCCGACGGCATTTAAAAGACAATATTTATTTAGAACTTCTCTCAAAACAAAATGGCTTGAAAATGGATTTTTGTGGGAAAATAACGACCATTAGTTGTCGAATCGACATTGCAATCACCTCAGTAAGAGTCTGATTTTAAGACCCCTGTACCAAATGGACATACGTTTCGTGCAGCACAAAGATTCAATCGGTTAAGTTTTGGCCATTACAAATAGTGGGTTATTGATGTAGACAGATGTTCATGTACCTGTTACAGCCCATTGTTTGTATGTTAATACCAAAGAAAAATAGATGCCAGTCAGTCACTCAATAGTGTCTGGCAGGGAAGTCTAGAAATTAAACGGGTTTCTTGCATAATTATAATATATACTATGACACTGGTAACATTTATATTTCACAGATAGGACATACATGACATATTCATAATTCCTGCAAATTTCTACATGATTTGATGTTGGCTGCAAATAAAAAGGGTCATAGTATCTTTAAGGAACCGATCAGATCATTTTTCCCAAATTCTATCATTCATAATGGTCTGTTTTCACTCAAACTTTCAAATTATCTTTAATTGTACAGCTAGCATTGAAATCTCTACCTAAGTAACATTTTCTCTCATCTGAACAATGTTACCCAGTCCCTTTAGTGGGTGTTGTCTTCGTTACGGACAATGATTGTACTTACGTCAAGATAAAGATAATGATTAGTCACATGTTCCGATTATGGTAATTTAAGTCATGACAATGATTCAAACATTAACCATGGATTCAAATTATATTTTGGATAAATACATGTATGGATGTAAAATCTTATATCATCATGTGATCGAAGTACAGCAATTCCGCTCGTAGTATGTCCACCTCGTTTAAAGCACTTTGTCACTCCGTCTAATTGAAGGACGGAGAAAATTTTGAACAGGCTCAAAGTTCTAGGGCACCTTTCCCCACCGTCCATGAAGTTCTTAAACAGATCGTAAACAGTTGATACCACATTCAATTTCGCTCGCATACATTTTGAGCCCGTTCTTCGGCAACATTTTCCAGAACGTAGTGAGAACTATTTGTTGTGATAACATGCGGCTCACGACTACATAAGCTAATGATAAGAATACATTATGTAACACCTTCGTTCAGGCATTCGAACCAATCACCTGTTAGACCTAGGTGATCAGGACCAACACCTCTAAAACCATTCTCATCGGGTAGACATGTAGACAGATAAACACCTGGTGGGATCTCAGACAGGAAACAATAGGACCACACGCCATATACCTTGAGATAAGTTATCTCTGAGACACGCTAGGTTGGTGTTAGTGACACCTGACGACATGAGATTATATCGTCTATGTCCTTACAGAAAACTAAGGGAGTGTCAACTACATTCTTATGCAGAAACATAATATGAATATGGAGCCATCATCAGACAGGTTGTTCTCGACAATCTGAAAGCTTGTCCGAGGCTAGTCCGACATAGCAACGAGTCATGTATGCAGATTGGCATTCATTCATTAATAACAAGTTAATCGATAAACTCGGAACTAGGTCCCCAGGAAGTAAACATTCGTAACTAACTTTGAATGTATTAATACACCAGTCTTTTAGAGAAACTTGCTTTTGTTATATAACTATAAGTTGGGGTTTCTAAGGCAACAATGATAATATGTTTTAAAAGGGTAGTTTAAAGGAAGTTATTTGTTCTACTTTGGAAAGATTACTACTTAAGGTTTGTGACACACGGTCATGTTTCTCTCATTTCTATATTGAGGTGCTCTCAGTTTGTTTATGAGGTGGTTTGGTGTCTCACCGTGGACTTTATTATGTATATTACGAAGTGATAAAACTGTGACACTATTTTAATCTAAACTTATGCTTGAACAGTTTCTTTAGGTGTTTGTCGTCTTGATACACAAGAAATATGCGTATATCTTGAGGGTTTCGAAGAAGAAATTAATATCTTTGAGTCTAATATTCAAAATAATGATAGATGTTACATTTACCAGCAATGCTAGACGTCTATAAATCTGCTTCCTACTCCGGATATATTATATTCAATATTTCATATACACAGTTCACTGACCGCTCAGTTCATTCCGAAAAACATCGTTATAATTATTTTGTGAATATTAGAGTGCGCTAAGTCTCCTTACGGACGATTTCAAAGGAATGCATTAGTATAAATAAATTCCCATGACAACAAAGAAATATATGAAAAATGGAAATCTCCTTCTCATCCCTCCACCTGCGAGTTTTGAATATTTATAGGTTTTACAATCCACCTGTCACTGTGCGCTTATCGTCAAACGAGATGATTACCAGTACCAAACTAACAACAATAATTGTAATTTATATAATTGCATAGAGGTGAAATAGAGTTTAAAATGGAGGGAAAACACCTTTTGAATATGTTTCTTATGGAATGTCCTTTTCTTCAAAAGCGTGCTTTAGGGTTTCATTTTAGTTTTATGTTCTTCTGAAATGAATCTTGAAGGAAGTGTGTTTTATATCATTTCCCTGAATTTACTTCATAGAATATAATTTCCACTCCTATATTATATAAATTTATGACGAAAGTGACATTGTGGAAACGAAAAACAATCTTGTGATTTCAAGAGGAAAAGCGTATTCCAGTCTATCATAATTATGGATACAAATTGTCTTTCATTTGTCATTTTCCCAGCAGAATTTCGTTTATTAAAAACTTTGTCTGATTGACGTTTTTCCTAATTTTATTTTCTTTCTCTCTATCTCTCTCTTCCTCTCCATTTCATAAAAGTGCTCAGAGACAGAGTTTAGCTACTTTGAAAGAAACAAGAGAGGAAGGATGAGATTCTTTATTATTTAGCATTCTTATAACTAGTAGAAATTAGAGTCGATGTTATCAAAATGTATTCTCAGTATAGACTGTCTATACGACTATCAGTAATGAATCATGGAATACTAAGCCGTGTTACAGAGGTGTGAATAAAGAGAGATAGAGAAGAGAAAGATCTCTAATTAAAACAAAGTTTAAACGTCATCATGAGATAAAGCACAGGGACTCTATTACGTCTTACATACGTCATAAGCCATACTTTATCTTCTGCTTTATGTTGACATTTCTAGGAGATTATTGTTTTGAGTTGATAGAGCAAAATCATTTAGGCCATGATGGTTTGTTTGCCTAAGTGATATAGAAATTAAGAAATCTTTTATTCAGCTCACCTAATGGGAAATGGTCGCACAATATGGATGTAAGGAGGGCTCTTAAATTGTCCATCTTTCTGAATAGACACTGGTTAGACTTTAACACATCACCCTTACACCATCACTGCGAAAGGAATGAGAATATAATTGATAAAGCAAGGAGGGGATGTAATTCACGCATCTCTGCATCTCCCTCCTACCCTATCATCTCTCTCTTCTCTTCCATTTAGGCTCGTCAGAATTGTGAGGCATGTCACTGAACAACACATTTCGATCGTTAGTTCTGTCGCTACAATTACATTACGCCCCCATGTGTAAGCAGTACACTGCCCCCTTTTTGCAGGGGCCTTATCTGGGGAGAGTTTTCACATCAACGGTAGACAGAATGTGTGCGCGTGTATGTGCGAGAGCGTGAGCGTGTGTTTGTGTGGGCGCGCGTGAATTCGGTGCGCACGCTGTGTTGAATATCGTCTGTCACAGTGGCGCGACAAATTGAACGATAGCAAAAAAAAATGCTTCATCTAGATCGAGGCAGAAAGAGAGTAAGGTGCCCGGCTGGCGGACTTGCTTTGGAATAGCCTTACTTCTGACACATCAAGCCTGTACTCTGGATGAAGCCTGGCTTTCTTTCTCTCTCTCTTCTTCCCTCTCTCTTTCTACTCCTCTCTGTCGACTGTCTCTGGCCAGCGATGCCTGACTAGCATCCTCCATGACCTTAACTGTCGAACGTGACTATAATCGCTTCTTTGTAGTCGTCATTATTTCAGCAATAATTAAATTGTGGAAAGTATCTGCAATACCCTTCTACATTTCTTCACTCTTCATAACGTGACATCTTCTCTGATTCAAATATCATTTGTGTGCAATGCCGGAAATAACTTAATAAGCCACTCCGGTTGAATACATCAAATTAGTTTAATGGGACATTAATTGTTTTGTTGATATCTTTTTATCGTCACATACCTTCTGCGAACTCTATGTTGGATACGTTGCGTGTTGTTTATAAAGAAATCAAATTTTTAAACAAACTTCATCTGTTTGTGTTTTGACAGCAATCAATACCTGAAGGACTTTGTGTGGAAATTGCACGTGACCGATCTGTGAACATCTTCCTGTCTGGATACCATTTAAAAGGATTTCTTATCTTCATTGGATCGCAAGTATGACTGGAAGAGTTTTATCCGTACCTGGCGGTTTGTGCCTTCTTCGAGTTGGACCAGTTTTCTGACAGATCTATACTTCATCTCTGTGATTTCTTCTCCAATATTTTGTACCCGCTGAGCTCAGCCACTTCAAGAGTGTAACTTCTAAGCGGATTTTGTATGCCTGGCTTCTAACCCGTTGCCACTGTTACGTGACATCCAACCATCGAATAGATATCCAGGTAAGAAACAGACACACTTTCATATTTAGGGTTTTTATTTCTAGTCTTCCTACTTTGATATATTTAGAGGAAAATACACTTTTCAAGTAGCTTTAGTATTTGTATGAAGAGGGGCTCTCCGGGAGTTCGCCGAGAAAGAGAGTCCACGTATTTACTACAAGGTTCTGTTTAAGGTGGGATGTGATATAACACTAAATATCTGAAATAGTTTAATCTGCACTTTTGATTATGTAGTACTAAACATCTCATTATAACATACATGTATCTTTGATAAAAAGAAATACCTCTAATCGTCTTCTTCCCATAGGGAACGGAAAATAATTGCAATCTGTATTTTTAGGGAATAGACACATAGATATCCAATGGATGAAGATACTTAAATGGGTTATAGCTGCTTAGATAATTGCATTTACATGCATTTGTATGAACTTTCTTCAATCTCCAAAATGCCTACACCGTCATCACTTTCTTGATTAACGGCCCATTCAATTACCTCGCCTGTTACCTGGACAATTTGGGGGAAGGTTTTTCTTATATCAGATAAAGGATCGAAATGTGTAGGTATTTGTATTTTAGAACATGTTCATACGAGTAAGCAGTATGATTGCAAGCAGTAATGTATAGACGTGATAGTAAGTAGGAAGTTGATGGTATAAGTACTGGCTATCGCAGTCCCCAGGGCCGAGCGAGAGATTGGTACAGCTGTGAATTAACGATGTTTTAATGCTATTACATGGACGCGTTCGAGTTGTTCGATCGCACACCGGCCTTGATAGATGGGTGGATGGAACGAGATCCAGGGTACAGGGATTTAACCCCTCCATTCCTGGCATTTATTATCCACTCCAATTCCTCTCGTTTTCACTCCCACTTGACATTGTGGAGGTTAAAGCGACTATTTCACAAAGGTGTATGGTCATGATAGAAAGCCTCTGCTATTTGTATTATGTTACATGTACATATATGAATCTGTGCGCTTGATATATAAACAAAAAAGAGCTTCGATTTGTAGTTTCCAATCGATTTTAATACATTTTCTTATAATAAGATACAGTAAATTATGATACAGCAAATTGTAACAATATCATTAACTGCCACCTCTGTCTCGTTCCAAAAGGGTTATTTATTAATTCTTTTTTCTGTCATTTAAAACAAACCTATCTTTCGTTTTCATTAAAAAAAGGTAAACTAATATAGAAGCTTGAAAATTAAGGTGTATGTATACATATATTACTAAAACTCGATGTGATGCACTTCATGTGCACTCATGATCAAAAGCAACGATTATAATAGAGTTTCAATAAATCTGTACACAGTACTGCAACAAGGCTAGTGGCCATATGGCCATAGAGTAAAGTACTTCACGAACCATCAATTATTGGTTGCAAAACTCGATATCTACTGATGAGTCCTCGCGTCTGATTGTTACCCACGCAGTGCAAGAAAAATCCAAACCGCACACTGATATGATTACTTCCATCAGGCACTTTCAAATGTGAACAAAAGTTGGCATAAATTATGCAAAAATGATGAAAACCAAGTAAATCGTAGATAGGATGTCAAACTATACTCACAGCCCATACATGCATGGTTATATCCTTCCATTTCTATTTCTATAGACACCTGGTTTAGATATAAATGTGCATGTATTAATACAAGAAGTTTTAATAGTTTACGTGTAAATATAAATATATTCAAATAATTGTACTGTTTTTATGGTATGGTTATTATGACTGCCATTAAAAAATCTTTAGTTAGCATTTCAGTAAACTGTTAAATGAGAATGTATGAATTATAATCATAAAAATAACAGAAACAGTAAAAATGTGTTTTCTGTGTTTTTTTCTTCTTTTTGTTATAATTGTGATGATAATTCGTGTAATAATTACCATACAGTAAAGATATTCAAAATGATAATAATTAAAAAAAGTGGTGAGAATGACAATGGTTATAATATCAGTGATGATAAAATAATAATACTACTCCTGGCCTTTGTTTGTATATATGTTTAATCATCAATATTCGTAAATCAAGAGTGACATAATTTATTCTTTAAATGCTCCTTTTTGTATTATGTAAATAAACGAAGAGGTAACAAACAACAAATATAGGAATGATAACGAGAGAGCAGCTGAAACGTCTGGACATGGTGATAGCTAGTAGAGTCAGTCGAAGGGAAAATTATCTTTGTCTCAAGGTCATGATGTGTCAAGGGTTATAGTGTTGATAGTGTGCATCTCGATATGACGCCATTAGCTTGCTCTTACAATGCTTGTATCAACACCACAAGCCTTCACTCTCTTCCAGTGAATCAGCTGTTATGATAATGATTATTGAATCGTGATAATCTATAATAATAATTCCAATAAATATATCTCACAAAGGTAACGTAAGGATACCGAAGACTTGCATTCGCAGACCGCAAACCGTTAGAAATTAGGGAATCACCAACGTGAATTATTTATAGTAAAAATATATAAGCTCATCTTTTTCATTTAACTTTCCTAGTAGTTTTCTAATCATCAGGAGCTCTTGCTTTCGTAGTAACTGTAAACGTCTGATTGATTTGGTGAACTTCCTACCTACGGTATTATTATCAGGTTTAATCATCTAATCTCATTGGTATTGTGAGGTACAGTACAGATAGTCATTAATGACATCATTCCAAAACAATTATCCGTCTGCTTTGAAGTGGGAAAACTTGTATTGCTAGACTAATAGCAAAACTGCTCTTCGCATAGAGCTCTAACCGATATGTTTTAAATACGAGTTTGGCTCTATTTATTGAAGGTTTCCGGAAATTGATATTTGGATAATGTCTACGCTTAGAGACTGCGGTAATGTGTACACATGAGTACAATGATTGGGATATATAACTAGTGATTGCATATTGATGTATGTTAACCTAATACAGTCACGTGGTAATTATAATTATTGAAATATCTATATTAAAGGATATAACTTCAGGCCTTATCATGACTTTTCAAAAAGAAGCAAATAAGCTGATTCTGCTCGATAATGTTGGACTGATTGTGTAAAGCTTTCAGATTCCTGTTATTATTATTTTTAATACTGGAACTCACTTCAGATACAGTAATTGGGCACCGGGTGTTATTTTCCTTTGACATATTTTGATATTTCTCTTTTAGAAATACGTAAATTACAGCTTATCATTGACTACAATGAGCAACGATAATTTATCCTTAAAGGGATCGTTTAACAATGTTAAATCTGATATACACGGCCCTACGTGTTATCAGTGTCTGTGATATGGTGTAATATTGAAGCCCTAAAAAAAATTGCGCTTCAAAATGATCAAGAAGTGCCTCAAAAAAGTAAAAATCATTGAGTGACCGGTTTTACCATACTCGTTTTCCTTAATAGACTGTAGTGTTATGAAAACCGTCAGGCGAACGGTTTTTAAAATTTATAATTCCAATCATAAATATCTTGATAATCAGACAGGCGACCGGCTTGTAAAAGTCATGGGGTTCCTGACTGACCTAAAGGTTTATAATTATCATTGCATCATGAGCTAAATCCAGAATTTTGTTTCAGAATCTGAGACAAAGTTACCGGATCCCTTTAACATTCACTTGTTATTGTAATAATTACTTTCTTTTTAATGTATGTCTTTTAGATGTATATATAGATTGTTTGAACATGCGTTGGATTTAATATTATCGATATGATGTTTTTATACTCTTTATGAACAAAATACAGTGGTCAATGCTTGCCATATGAACAGTATATTCATACACATTTCATTCATTTGATACTAGGTAGTCGTTCGTTCATTTCAGAATTGACATGGCCTGTATCAATTCAGCCTTGAATTCCGGAAGCTATATTTCTAATCGCTGTACCTCCAATAAGGTCTAATTGCTCGCGTGTTAGAACCGACAAGGTTTATATTACTATATGGACTCATGGCCGGTCTGGGAAAGCTTTAATAATTCATCAACCTGGTTATCAATTTTAATTGGCTTTACACTTATCAATATTGATTCAGAATATCCATTCAGTATTCAGAATACCAGCTTCCACTCGGACGCTTTGATCATTAATGTTTTTCGGCTTCGTCATAAACGTGTATTATTGTGGTAGTTACACACGGCCGGTATTAAGGTTTTTTTCGTTATAAATAAAATGTATTAAACCTTATAAATCGAAGATTTGATACGTATACTTTGTAATCAGTAGACATCAAAAATAAACACCGACTCACTGCATGAACCAGTTAAAAGAAATCCATTGTAACATTGATTTGTTTCATTTCAAAGTTTAATATCATCCGTTTTCTGTTAATTAATCAGAAAATTACCAAGACAATGCTCGAGAATGAGACAATTTAAGTTTAAGGTCTGTCACACATCCAAACTCGACTAAAAATGACAGGTTCTTGTCCATTCGTGGCTGGGTCATGTGTCGGTCTATCGGCCTGGTGTCGGTCTCGTTGGTGTAACTGGGACATTATTGGACAGCGGGTAACTTTAGCTCTCTGGATGAATAGGTTATTAAACCTAATCATGGCCTCAATGTCCTTCCCCTCGCCCACCTTCCCATCTAATCTCATTGTGTTACATCACAACAGATAAAACAACCATTTTAATACTCCCCAACACAAGTCAAACTGAAATAAGCGCTTAATGTAATGATCGTAAAGAGCTAACATACAGCTCGTTGTTTTATCTCGCCGCGTCAGTTGATGTGATAGGGTAGAATGAAAGTATAATACCGTTAATTGACAGAGTAGTGTGTTAGAAACACTTCCTATTTCACCTAGTCTGATTATAGAGTGTTCCGTGCCAGCAGTTGAGCGAGCAATGAAAGGGCGATCTCACCTTGAAGTTACCAGCTCGATCAGCCATGTGTCCTGCTATTCTATCCAATTTGATGGGCTAAGTTTAATGGCGAATTAATTGATATGTTTATAGCTTGTAGCGTATTGGGGTTTTTAAATATTACAAATTGGTATATGCCTACATCAAGTATTCGAATGATTTATTGAACTAGTGTTAACAAGTGATAAGCTGTTAAAACACGACACAATGATAACACATTGTTTTGAGAGATTTACCCTACAAATTTGCAAAAAGTTGTATTAATTGTATAGAATTATACGTGTTAATACCGACTGTAAAACTTAACTGTTATCTCATCGAAATCTTACCCCAAAAAATCTAGTTAACTCGCATCAGTATCAATACTTTTTCCAATAGATTTTTAGATATGATTCGATATCATTTTTTGGTCAAAACAAATCTTAAATCATTGTTCAGCTCCCTTGGATACCATCTCTTTTTCAAAAGAAGAAAACAAAAATCAATATATGAAAACCTTAATATTTGTCCTATTGATGAACCATGTAGCCTTTGAATATTGACAGGATTTATGTCGTCATATTAAAGGTTATAGCATGAATAATGATTGTCTCAGTCCCATCTATGCATGTCTGGGTTGGGTGATGTTGATCAATGATCTTCTCTTAACGTTCACACCTCCCCGTATCTCTGACATTTCTGAATTATAGAGTGAGTTCCGACCACCAGACCCTCAACGATGGCCACAAACTTTTTTCCTTCTTTTTTTCCCTTGGATTTTTTTTACAGCTTGGGAGTTATCTACTCTGTACTTCTCATTGTGACGTTTTATCGGCAGTAGTGTTTGTACATGACCTAATTATATGGGGACACGTTCACATTATTCTTCTTTATTGTCAGTTGTATCTGAACAGGTAGGTGAGGTTGATTCATGTTATCATGTTACGAATTGGTGATTTTTAACCTAGTCTAATAGTACGAAACATTCGGAATTTGATTAAAATTAAGTGGCAAAAGTATTTTGGAAGATGGACATGTTACAAGGTGTTTGACATCTTTTATTTGCACTAGTAATCGAGTAGGCCCGATAGATTATGTTCGGAAAAATTATTTGAACTTGGAATCGTGTGTACTTCTTATTTACGAATCACTACAAGCATGCAATTCCTTTGATAGCTGTCGAATGAAGTAAATAACGTCACTAAATCATCTACGAACGGCTGTAATGGCATTGTACATGTAATCATGTTTTCCAAAATATGTAATGTTCTGGGGGGTGTTTCACAAAGATCCTATGTTGAACTTATCTCTAAATTGGACTTAACAATTATGGAAAGCCATTAGCATCCTTGAAAATATTTTGTAAACGTTATTTTAAAAGGCATAAAATGTTGATTCAAGTCATTCATATTTTCTATTATCATGTGAGATTTCATGTTCTTGATGTGGAATTTATGAAAAGTCTAAAATACTTGAATTTTTGCTTTTAAATATATTGCAAAAAAAGGCTCTCCATACTACTTAAGTCCAACTTAGAGTTAAGTTCGACTTCGAGTCTTTGTGAAACACCCCCTGGTGTGAAAGCGGAATGATGTACTCCTCATTAAACTAACAAAGAACAAACGCACACTATTACTCATGGCAAGGGTTATTTAGGTCCCCTCCACATTGTTCTATATCATCGTTATGGACTTGTTTTTGTTTTTTAAACTCAGTCCTTTTTCCGGCACCTAAGGCCTTATCTCACCCTCTACTTCCGATATTTATATCATAAGCCTAAAGTTTAGATGAACACCATGTGATACAGGACAATGATGAGATTAAAAAGACTCTTACCATTTTTAATATTCTATATTGTTATAATAATCAGTATACAGTTGCAATACATTGCACAAGCCCATTGACATCACATGAGTGTGACTAAGGCAAGATCAATCTGACCGACAGAACAGAAATAGTAATTTTTTTAAAACACATTTTTTCGTTAATGTTGAAAAATTACTTACATAATATACCTAGACCTCTCAATCATACCGTCATTTCACTTCAACCATCAGTGTGATAATGATTATTTTGATAATTTTATTTCACGTCACATTATTAATTATTCATTTTTTTGAGGCTTAACCTTCTGCAGAGTTTAAATAGACTGTAATTAAACATGTTTCTAAACTAATTTTTATTTTCATTAAGTTATGTAGGAAAGGAAAAGTTCCTGTAAAGGTAGTGATGTTAATTAAACGTAGATTCCACTGCTCAATGCTTTATCTGTACATGCCATTTTGTGTCAGATATTCTGCAGGTGTTGACTGCAGATTTAGCTTTCGTGCACTATTCAATCATGATTAATCTCTGATGTCTCCTATTCGACTAGTATGGAAAAGAAATCGCGTTCAGAATATTTATTTCTGTGATTATCCCTTTAAAACTGAGGGAGGTACTGTAGTACATCATCACCAAGCGAAGAGAGTATAGGTGTAGCTATTTATGGCTACTATTTACCTATCAGCATCCCTAATAGTATCACATGGATTGATGAGTTCTTCGGTGATGTGTCCTTTCCATACGGCCAATCTCAAGCGCATTATTTTATCTCCTACCCGGTCACACCGCGAAACCGATTCAAAGATACCACCAATCACTAAAAAACTGGACCATTTAGGGTAATGTATTATTTGGTTCGGGCTGATGTCGATCTGTAGTCGGTCTCGTTGGTGTGACAAGGGTATCACGTTAGAGATAGAGATGCGATCCGGCCAGAGATATAAAAACAAGTAGTCGAGCGTTTGGTAGACATCATGGAGTACGGGTTTAGTTTTCGTCAAGAGGTTGGCAGTCATGTGAAGTTCAAATTCAAGGCGGTGTTGGACGACGTGCCAATTTAATGTCTGTATTATTTTGTGTCAGACGATACAATAAACCCGCAATTTGAAGTAGCATATGACTTCTCAGTGTTTATTTTGTGAATAAACGCAATGTATGACTGTTAACCATGCTACGCGCAGTGATATATGTTAGTGTTTCAATCTTTTCTCAGAGACATTTGCATTTAGTTTGTTCTAATTGAGCATATCTTCAACAACAAAAAATGAAAAAAATTGTGTGTTGAAATAGACACTTCAATTTTTAAAAAATTGCATTTCATAAAAAGCATATTGCAGCACGGGAATCTAAAAATAATATTGTGAAATCATCGGAATAATGTAGCGTAAACTTCACATCATTATTTCATGTTAATTATTTAAAGAGATATTTATTTGTGTTAACAAATTTCCAAATAAAAGACAAGAAATAAGAGAAAATTGAAAAAGAAGTAACTGGACTATTATCACCTACAATATGATGTTAGAGAGTGGTGGGTTCCCATTTATTCTATGCTCTGAAACGCTTCCTTGCATGCGCTTAGCCAAAAGGGCAGTTTGAGAAATTACTAGGATCATACAAGATCATATCACTTTCACTCCGAAACAAAATGGCCATGGCCGAGACATCCATATCAAGGATAAGAAGACCAAACTCAGTTTAACAAGCAACCACCCTTCTGTAATTAGGTAGTCGGGTCTCTGTACTTCAGGCGGCAAGTCTTTGTAATATCTTTATTTCTCTCTCTCTCTCTCTCTCTCTCTCTCTCTCTCTCTCTCTCCCGCACCCACACGCACACACACACGTACATGCACAGTCTCTCCATTTCTCTCAATACATCTGCCGCTTCACCTCCATCTCCTCTCTCTTTCTCTCTCTCTCTCTCTCTTTCTCTCTCTGTCTGTCCTTCTGTCCCTCTGGCTCTCGCCAACGTCTTGAACTTATTTGCTTTGATGGGGATTATTCAAATCTGTTCAAATCAATACTGGCATCTATGGCGAGTCTGAAAAGTGTACAGAAGGGGTCGTAAAGCTGGCTTGGACCAGGGAGATGTATCCAGGGCATGCTAAGCTTTGTGACCAGTCATGAACCTTTATGGTATCCAGGATGATGCCATGCTCTCCAGGGTCAATTCTAGATTCCTAGAGGTCTATACCTGACCCCATTCACCAGGGACTCGATACCAAGGGGGTTACTTAGGGCGTGGCCGAGGGATGGTGAAGGGTACGTGGTATCCCCTCCTTTCCTTTTTCTTACCTCCAAATCCAATAGTGAAGACTGCACGTCCCTCATTTGATTTGCACTTGGTCGATTGCATGTAAGAAATGATTTTATAACATTAAATATTTATAATATGCTACTCATGCCGATTATATACTCTTCATCGCCATAAGGTAAATTTGTATGTAATACGAAGCAGAAGTCTAATATGCCCCTCCTCGTCCATCCCTTCTCATCCCTTCCTTTCGTTTGTACATTTTCTCTTTCCCAACATTTCCCTTTTTTATGTCTTCATTTTTCATCATCCAATTTAATAACCTCCACGACGCTATGTCCAATCGTAAAATAAGAAGCATGTACGAGTGCAGACGACTCGGCCTGAATATTGATTTACACTTTTTGGCGCGTAGTGGACACGCTGTCTGCATGGATTCTAATAGGCCTTTAAAGGAGACACTTCTACTGTCAATATTCAGTTTTAATTGGACCGTTAAACTGGACGATTCAGACGGTTATTTACGTCTGTCGTAAACCTCATAAATTGTCAAAGTAGCATTGGTTTGAAACATTAGAAGGTGAAAGTATTTCATATGCAGGGTTCATCTAACTTTCTTAACCATTTTGCCAATCAACGCTTATGTCTTATTTGCTTCAAGCAAATATTCCCTCGGTCAGCTTGTACTGTAAACGACTGATTTAAGTAAATGCATGTACGTAGCCGTTCTAAACCTATTATGCTGATGGGTTGCACGTGATTAATGCTTTTACAATCAAAATTTATATTTTAAAGCTCGTGCGCCTTTAGCGGTATTTTAGAAGTGTTGTAATGAATATTCTTTTAATAAATGACCACTTATGGTTTATATTGATAAACTTCAAGCGAATATAGCCTCGGTCAGTCGGTCACCTTCATCAAGCCTGCACTTTTCAACCTAGGTCATGGCTTGTGTTACTTTGGTCAGTACATAATAGAAAACAAAGAGAGGCTGTTCCTCTATGTATAACAATGTGAACTGTTGAGTTGAATGAGAGGAATATTCATTATGAAATATTAAAAAGTTGCCGATTCAGTTCAAGAATTGTAATATGAACTGTAACTGTAAAGAACAGTGTGAATTGATAAAATAAACATACAGTGATTTCCAAGAGCGTTATGATATTGTCCATTAAAAACTTTAAACAAAGTAATAATATTCTAATATCAGTGCAGACTGAACTGCTTGCGTCGTTGTGCCTCTTACTACAGTAAGGTTTTTTGGAGAAAAAAAACAAGGCCCTGGAAAACACGACGTACAAGTCACCTTAATAGTTCACATCGGACGTGATTTTTTTTTTCAGGTCCACATGTTTATCATATTTTTTGTCTCAATTTTGTTTAAAACAAACGAATATAATCCCATGATGCATGATTACTTCATCATCATTGTGTCATTCACTGTGAAGGGGCACATTTCCGGTTCCCGCTGCGCAGACTCAGAAATGTAATTGAACGAAATGATTGTTTCAGAGCTCCACTTTGATACATATTCCCTTTGGACAAAAATATGAATAACCTGATCTTTCTATTGTCAAAACGAGGGAGAAGAGTTGAAAACAGATAATAATGCTACTCGTTAATGTGATATATGATTATATATCAGCGTCGGACTGTCAGCACACACGACATTAGTGGTTTCAATTGTCAACAAATTAATAATTTTTAATTGTCACTCAGGTATTTCTTACCTTACCGCATTTTGTCTACTTGTCCTCGTTTGTACTTGTTATTACAAGCATTCGCAGTGAAGTTGGCCATGTGAACGACTAGCGCTTTATTAAATGTCATGATAACTATATTATGAATGAAAACAAAAAGCTATGAAGTCAATACCAGTATTCAATTGACTTAGCTATACCTTTATGTGAACATTCCCAGCTCAGAGAGGAAAGAGGGGGTGGTGAAAAGGAAAAGGAAACAGTCCATTTATAATCATAATCATTTTGTAGTTTGTACCCAATGTTTTCAAAGGCAACGTAAGCGTGTTTGTGGTATATACTAAAAAACACCGAAGTTTATTGCTGGTATAAATTGACATGACGATAGGTTTTATGGTTTGCTTTCTTCTTCTTGTAACAGGATTATTGTTGTGAATCTACCTACTGGTACTTTCTGGTTTATGTTGATGCATTAATATTCAATTCTCTTGTTCAGGTGTCATACAGACGTATTTAAAC